TCTGCAGAACCATTGGGCCACTGGGGACCCCATTAGGAAACCTCTACACTAGCAGTTCAGCCTGTTAAATACCAACCTTGTTTGTGAGGCATCCGTCTTTCCTGTCCAACTTCTGTAATTACTCAAACCATCAGGGCCTCTTTAGGTATCTTATAGTCAGCTTAATCAGGTTTTTTTTTATTCAATATAGAATAAAAACTGTAAAAGTAACCATTACCAATACCAATCATTTGTAAGTGATACATTTTGTAAGAATTACTTTATGTAACAAGAGAAAATAAGAACTTTGGCAGTCACATGAGAATCTTTCAAAGAAGCTTCCAAAGTATTTACAAGTATTTGCTTTGTACTTGAGCAGAATGTGTTCATCCATGAATTTTGCCATGTAACCATGGAGGAAAACAGTGTTTAGACAGCATAAAAACTTGTTTGCCTGTTCTGTGAAAGTTGTTAAAAATTTTGACTTAGCCATAGGAAGACAATTTTTAACCACTAGATTAAATAGAGACATTAACACCCTTGAAAATATATTACTTTTTAAAATATCTCATGTCAAAATAGTATATAATTGTGTAGATAAGATACAAAAAGAAATGTTTCATCTTAAATGGAGATATAAATGGAGTTTTAGATTCACCCAGAAAGTCACAGGAGGGATGACACCAAGGTTTACTGTTTATACTTGATCCATGGAAAATCAGCCCACTTCATGGGAAATATGCCAAGAATGTCAGGACAGCTGAAAATGGATAATGATACACAAATGATTAGCAATCTGTAGATAACTGAGTAACTGAGGCTTTTCCCCCTGGAAGTGTAGAGCCCAACCTCCTTGTACAGCATGAATAACAGCAAACAGAGATAAGACAGAAATGCTCCTAGGAAGGTGTGCCGTGCATACCTGGGGAAAATGGCCATAGGACTCATTTATGGCTGTTCCAGGGTTAGTGCTTTGAAAGTGATTAGAACTATAATCTAGGTTCCCTCTAAAGTAGATAACTTTTAGAAAGTATTTGTGAAGAAGCAAAGTTGAAGATCACTAATATCTTTAAAAATAAAAAGAAAGGGAGTGAAATCTACCTCTGCTTAACTAAATGCTTATAATCATAGCAAACTACTACCCTAATGATTTTCAATGACCGTAAATGATTATTTAAACTGGACAGTATGCTGTTAACAAGTGGCAAAGTCTTTTGCTTTTGTCCTAGTTCATATTTCTTTTGCTATATGCCTGTGTGTGTGTGTGTGTGTGTGTGTGTGTGGTGTCCTGCGTGGCAACACCCCAACCTCACAAGGTGGCATCTTCTGGAAGAGGAAGTATCTGAGGTTCTAGTACCACTGCCTCCCTTTCTCACTGTGACATCTGTGACATGGTTTCATAAGTCAAAACTGGATTTGTGTAGTTCTGTTGGAATACCACGTGGTTTTTAAGATGAAAGAACACTGCTAATACCATAATAGTATCTAAGACATCCAGTAACTCTACAAGAGTATTGCTGGCAGAAGCAAGGAAAAAGCAAATCCAAAAGTAAAATAATTTACAATGTGTCCCAGTGGGAATGTACCTCTGCCCTGTCCACAAGGACACATACCTGAGACCTCTCAGCTGACAAAGTCACAGAGTGGGTGGGATGCTGGTTTCTTCTCCTTTCAAACTTCTGCAAGGTCAGCTTGTCACAGGGCTCCTTCTTAGAAGAGTCTTTGCTCCGTATATACTTACGTGCTAGGTTATCTCTAGCCCATGGACTCAACACTGTCTGTCCTCTAGCAACTCTCAAATGTATTTCGGAACTGAACATGCCCTCTCTGAACTTAAGACTGACCTCCCCGTGCCTCTATCCACTTGGATGTCTCAAGTGTTTTAACTTGGAATGTTGTGACCTTCTCATTCCAGGGCTCACCCCATTCTTTTCCTTACCCACTTTCCAGACAGGCTCCCCATGCAGATTTCTTCATTTTAGTTCATGGCAGTTCCAGCTTTCAAAGTAGCTCAGGTTAAAATCTTGTAGTTTTCTGAGACAACTCTACTTTTTGTTTGTTTTTTTACTATCCACTGCTGACCTTTGACCCACACATTTTATCTGCTCTACCATCAAAATAGGTGTTCTTTATTGTCATCACCCAAGTACATGCTGTCATCATGGCTCACCAGAATTGTTGGAAGCACTGTCAGACTGAGATCTTTGCTCCATCCTTGCCTCCATCAGCAACAAAGGGATCCTTTTTAAACTGAATGAAATCATGTCTCTCCTCTGCTCAAAACCCTCTACTCAGAGTAAATAGTAAATCCTTTCCATGGCTGGCCAGGCCTAGATGATCTAGAACCCATCTCTTGTTCATCCCCAGTCCCCCAAGCTCTCTCTGATCTCTCCTATACCCCCACCAGCCTAGACTCTACTTTTTGCACATAGTCCTCTTGGCTGACCCTCAAACAAGCCAACCACTCTCTGGACTCTGTCACTCCTTCTTTAGGTTTCTATTCAAATGTTACCTCCACAGAAAGGACTCCCCTAACCACCCTATATTAACTAGCATACCCTGCACTATACATTATTAATATTTCATCATATAGTTGTCTCCTCTGATAACATTTAAACCCTATGAGTGTAGGATTTTTGTCTGGCAGATCACCAATGTATCTTTAGCCTCCTAGAAGGCTTTCTGGCACATAGTACACACGCAAAAAGGATTTGTTGAATGAATTAAGGCTAACTCTACCTCAGATTTCCTACCTCCATAGAAATCTGAGGCTTTGTTGTTTGTTTTTTGCAGTACTGGGGATTAAACCCAGAGCCTGGCACATGATAGCCAATTCTTCTACCACTTGATCCCTTTCCCAAATTCTTTTGCTTTTGAGACAGGGTGTTGCCACCTTTGCCTGGGCTGGCCTCAAACCCACAATCCTCCTACCTCTGTCTCCTGAATAGCTGAGATTAGAGTTGTAAGCCACCATGTCTGGCAGTCTTTGAGTTTTGAGACATTTTTGGCTTCTCAACTTCAATTTTCATGAGCTGCTATTGAATCTAGGTTCATGTTAACTAAGCAAACAAACTATTGGATCCAAACACATCTCCTCAAGCTAGCCTGTTGAATCCATAATTTCTGATAAGTATCTACATGAATAAATTCAGTGACTTCCAAATTTCTATTTCTTCTTCCTTAGTCAATTAACCTCAAAATCTGTCTACACATGTCTTCCCTGGCCTTCTGTTGATTAAAAAGAGAAAGGTTGTGTAAAGTCTTCCCTGCTAATTTGACTCTGTACTTGATATCAGGGCATGCCCTGATTACAGATCTGGAGGTTCTGAAGAATGGGATGAAGGACCCTAAAGGAGGATTAAGATCATTACCTCAACACAGAACGGGCCTCATCATATGTTAGGAGAGGGACCACTTCAAGCAGTACGAGAGGCTCAGTCACATTGTGGAGTCAGGGTACTCGAGTTCTACAAGTGCATCCAGTCTGCTCTCAGTTCTCGCTCTTTCCAATTAATAAACATAAGAGACCTGGCAAGGTTATGAGTCAGTAGATGTTGCAACTTGGCAATGCACAGAATGAAATTGGAGCCTGGATTCAGCCACCTCAGCTTGTTACCTCTGGGACAAGGGAAGAGATTGGAATTGAAGGTGGTTTGCAAAAGAGGTTGTTAGTCTTAACAGTAATTTAAAAGACTCACGAATTTTTTTATGAATAGAATTCATTTCAACTTATAGTGTAGGTAGTATGAAAAATGCTGCCTTTTCCTACGAACTTTAGTCAAGTGGAACAGTCACTGTTCAGCCTGGTACAGTCAAGTGCCTCTATGTGGCATGCACTCCAAAGCATATTCCTAGTACCCCTTCTAAAAGTTGACCACTGTTATGTACTTACTCCCATAGTATGTGTAATCCTGTCTAGCCATAGCCCCTCTGGCTTCAATAGCACCTCACCTGCATTCAACCTCTCAAATCCTCAGATGTGACAGACCCACTCCTTTCCCAATTCCAATGCTGGCTTCTTTAAACTACAGCTCTTCTTCAATGGCAAGAAATTGTTAACCACTTTGAGTAATAGCACCCCTGCTTTAACCTTCCTTTACTCCTACTCAAACACACTGATTTTAGGGTAGAACCTAGACAATCACTGAATGTATAAGAAGGAATATACAGGGTGCTAGAGCATCAAAGAGGACAGGAACAGAGCCCAGTTATCAGAAGACTGCCCAGAAGAGACAACTATTCAGGATGATAATAAAATAAAATAAATGTATGTTCTAGGTGCTTTATATATGTTACCTCATTTAATCCTCCCAATAAGTCTACCAAGCAGAGTCTACTATCCCTATTTTATAATCAAAAGCCATTAAGTGATTTGCCCATGATCATACACCTTACAAATGGTGTAGCTGCAATTCAAACCTGGGAAGTCTGGCTCCTGAGTCCCTGTTTTTAATCATGGGTAATAAGACAAAACCCAATGAGGGTTGAGAATGACATTCTACCTAGACCAAAGGAACAATGCATGCAAAGTAATGAAAAGATGAGAGCATGGTTTGTTCAAGCACTACAACAGGCATTCAATACGAAATGAGTGAATCATGCAGTTCATGAAGGGCTGGTTTGCTGGATTTTATTTTACAGGAGTGAGGAGTTGTTGAAAGTTTTAAGCAGGACTGTAAAATGTCAGAATTATATTTCTGGGTAATTCCTCAGATGTATGGAAGATGAACTGGAATAGGTTAAAACTAGAGGTACTGGCTACTATTAGGAAGACTTTTCATATGCTAAGGATTGAACTGGATCAGCAATATTAGTGATAGAAAAGGTGATGGAGTTGAATGCCCCAAAGGAAAATGAAAATTTTGTGTTGCAAATGTGTTAACAGTATTCTAAAAGGAAATAAGATAATGGTGTTCCTCTATTTGCCTCTGTCTTCCTATTAAGGAAACAGTAATCATAACTTTTCACACAAGAGTAAATGTATAAACGTTATTTTATAAACAATAATTAATATTTCCACATTGAAGAACAAACAGATATGAAGGTTAAATCTTTAATTTTATAAGGTTTTAAAAAGACAGAAACATAACCCTAATTACACATAAAAGATTTTAAACAGGAGCTTATTGGAATGGTACCCTTCCCCTTGACCTTCAAAGTCTTTCCTTGGAGAGCTACTCAAAAATAAGGACAAAAAAATTTTGTTGCTCAGATATTTCTTATGCTTTGTACACTTCAACTCTGGTTGGCTGCATGTGCCTTTAACCCACTTGGAGTCTTCTTGCTTATCAGTAACATGTCATTTTTCCCTCCTCAGTGATAGATAAATCAACTCCACTCAGAATTTCCAAGGATTAGTTTCAGTCAACATTTTTAAAGAATGATAATATTCAGAAATAAGGTTTTAATTAAGGTAAATATTCACTAGCAAAATGAGACCAAGACAAGACTCAAAAAAATGCTTGTAAATCCTCTACATTTATGAACATGAGCAAGTACCAGTGAATAGTGAGGTTAGGACAAAGGACTCTCTCAGATATAATCTATTTCTATCAACATGTTGAAGATTATCAAAAACTACAATGAATGACATACAATGATTCCCAAGAGAAATTTCTGTGCTATAGAATTTATTAGAAAAATGTCATAAAAGTATAATAGAAAATAACATTTTGATTCTTTAAAATAATGTGTGAAGATATTTATGTGGATTAATTTTTATTTGCCAAATTACCCTTAAGTGGTATCTAGTACCCATAAAAATCAATGAGCATATATCTTTTAAGAACTCTATTTGTGATAAGTCCATTTTTATCACAGAAATTTAAACTTATACATATTTTAATGATTTCCTATGCTACATGAAAATGCTCTTATCTGAAACAAATATACTATATAATATCCAAATATTAGCTTCTTTTTAAAAAAAGCACAAAAGAGAAATTGTATCATTTATAACATTTCATTTAGTATCCCACTGAGTGGTATACAGCCTTCAAAATCTATACTATTTTACATTTAAGTCATTATGTAATTCTGCATACGTTTATCTTGCGCTAATGTTTTATAGTATTCATGAGAACTTAATTTTCATTATATTTACCTGAAAACTTTGCATTCTATATTTTTAAAAGAATATCTTGTTATAGTCTTTTAAACAACTGTCCTCCTTTATCATTTTCAAAAAATGGGCAAAGATGAAAACTTGGTTAGTATGCTTGGAATAAACACTAGAAATTAAATATCAAATCTGTTGCTTTGACTGGCATGTAGAACAGTGAATTACTTCAAATTTTACTGGGGCATTTTTAAGTGTGCAGCACAATACTGCTGTTATCATTGATATGATCCCTTTGTACAGTGATGAAATTAAACACATCATTTTTAGAACCTTTTTAAATATGATACTTAGCATTCCAGAACTAATGAATTATAAAATTTCCAGGTTCTTTCATTTGGCTAAAAAAAAAAAACACATATCTTTGAAATTATGATCATAAAATAAGTAATCCACTAGTTAGGGTTGAATGTATAATATTTAAATTTTCACATTTTTAATAAATAAATTTATTCATTATAGAAAACTTAGCTTCCTATGAAGTGCATCACTTAATAATTTTTATTGCTTTGGATATAAAACTGGCTTTCATAGTATAAATAAATGCATCTTTCTCCACCACCCCTATACACCCAAAAGAAAGCCTACCAGTAGTCTAGGACAGCATTGAGCAATTCTGATAAAGCAGTTTTTACTATCAGACAGCTAACCATGTACAAACTGTGAGTGAATCACCTTTAATAGCAAGGTCATTATGGTTACATTATTTTCTAATGTTTTAGAGGTGACATTGTGGTACCACGTTTTAAGGTAATTTTATGGCCATTTTAAGAAATTTTTTGAGATAAGCTTTCACTATGTAGCCCAGGCTGACTTCAAACTCATTATCCTTCTGCCTTAGCCTCCACACGCTGGATTACAAGCATGAACACCACGCCCAGCTTTAATGCAAATTTTACATTTCTTAAAAATTACACGAATAGGTTTAATTATACGTATTTTTTCCATTTGGGAATTAAAATGCTGTAAAATCTTTTTGACCCAAAGTAAATGCAATAAATTGAGTAAGATTCTCTCAGAATGAAGATTACAGTATTTAGAGACAGATACACAAATAACTACTTATAGACTTCAGAGAGTTATATATTTTCAAATGTGCAAGTTTAGTCCAAAGACAGAGAATGCTTGTGTAGAATCTAGCTTGCTGAATAATCAATTGATTTTAAAACTGTTGAAAGTAATACACATGTTAACTTTTCAATTAAGAGAAATTAAGAGGATTACAAATATAATGTATAATTCACAATATTTCCTATTGCTGTATGCATACCTTGAAATGTCAGCAACTAATGTGTCTTAAAAAAGTGAATATTTTTCAGCTTTCTTTCAAAAGTTGTGTAGCATAAGAACCTACTACTCAGAGATAATATTTCAGCCATGGGAAAGAGACAGGACATAAGGCGTATTCCACAGTGCTGAAGGAATTCATTGCCCTACTAGATACTGAAGGCCTGAGGAAATGGCACTAATGACTTAGGGCTTGAAGTGCTTAGGTCTAATCATCATTTTGGCCTCTTTGAGGGAGGACTTGTAGCCATTAGGTTGTGCCTCACTCATACCAGGCCATGTGCCCCAGAAAATCCCATTACGGACACCTTTATATTTTTGATGGTAATATTTGCCATTCAAGTTTGCAGATAGACATGCATCGAACCACCAGCCTGAACTGTAGTATCGTCCACAGTTCCCGGAGGGATAGCGGTCATTGTCTCTATCTGGGGTAGAAAAAAACTTCAGATCGTGGTTGTAGTGTTTATTGAAACGTAAGGCATCTCCAGCGGTGCCATTGTAGTGCCCAACATGTAAGCGGTATTTGAGAAACTCGTTAGCCACATAAAACTGATTGTACAAGGCATATAGTTTGACACCATTAAAATCTTCAAGATCTATTCTCAGAATCATTTCCTTACTCTTGGTCAGAAGATGAATCTTATCATTTCCCAGCCAAAATTCTCGTCGGAGGTTTCCAAAGCCTGCTTTGTAGTCCTGCCATGGTCTGGTGAAATTGGTGCTTCCATCCAGACGAGCCTGCAGCACTGTCCAGCCTCCCCCCATGGTCTCCATGTCACAGTATACCTCAAAGCTACTATTTTTGGGATCAGGTGTAACTCTGTAGATCTCACTGCTTCTTTTGCCTATTACATAGTAGTCAGAGCAATCTTTATATATCAGATGTTGAACTGAAGGGAAAAGAAAAGAAAGGCATTGGGTTTTGTTAATAAAAACCATGTAGCTGAAGAATTCTTTATATACACAAAAGCCATTTGGTAATTAATGGCAATAATGAAACCTTGCTCTGCTAAACTTTCCTGAACCTGGTTGGCAAGTGCTCGTTAAGGCCTCAGAATAAGAACCTGGTGTTATAGTTATATTTTTGGTTGATAATAATGGTGAGAATATCAACAATAAAGAATAAGGAAAAGTAATATTTAATGAGGGCTTCTATGTTCCAGGCACTCTACCAAACATTGATAACATTTTCCTGTTTCATCTGCACATCAGCCTTGTGATGTAGGAATTATTGCCAGCTTGCTGGTGAGGCTATTAAGCCAAAAGAGGGTCAGTGGCTGGCCCAGGTTCACACAAACACTAAGTGACAGAGGTAGGTCACAAATTCAGATCTGCCTGGTAGCAAAGCTTATTCTCATCACCATCGCATTCCTCTGTCCTAAAATTCACATGATTCCAACTCTCTTAGAACTGCACTGTGGGTACTGTCAGGAAGTTTTACAGAAGACGTTCCAAATCATGCATCAGTTCTAACATAGCATTCCTCAAATTACTTTATGTTACTTAACAACTCTATAAAAAAGCTCAAGTTAAAAACATATCTTTTTTCAATAATGTACAACATTATTCTGAATTTCTTATCTAGGAAAGTACAGTCAGCCATATTTCATGTGTTTCATTTCTACAGAGAAACTACAGGGGATTACGTTCAGGATAAGTGTACTCAGGTAATGGGGTTTGAGAGAAATCAAAGACAGCTATTTACTCCCAGATAATTTTTATTAAGAAGTTGTGGCAGATGAGTTAACATATGATACTGTAAGGCACAAAAATCTATTATGTGGGTTATTTATTTATTTTTATTTTGCAGTACTGGAGATTGAACCCAGGGCATTGTGCTTGCAGTAAGCACTCTACACTTTGAGCCCTTTTAGTTTTTTTGAGATTGACTCACACTAATTTTGTCAGGTTTGGCCTCAAACTCATGTTCCTCCTGCCTCTACCTCCCAAGTAGTTGAGATTACAGGCACAAGTGCCACCACACCCTCCATATTCATGTGTATTTAGGATTCAGAATATTCGGATATTTTCCTAGAACTTTAGGAAGAAAGAAAAACTTTTATGAGAAAAGTGAACAGTAGAATCTTTTCCATACCATTTTTAACTTGGCATGCAGTGTCATATCTAATGTGCAACCAGTGTTATCACCTAGGACATGAACATCTGCCTTGCCATGTACAGGTTCTATTTAAATCCAGGCTGCCAGGGGTATCAGCAGCAGTGGTGCTTGAAACCATAGCCAACCTCCATGATCAGGTCCCCTGTGGATGGAATATGCCTGAGGTATCTGGTCCAAATGAAAAGTGACCTCTACCATTGTCCTTCAGCCTCACACTCATGAGAAGCAGATGTCCTAATGCAGAGATGACTCTCCAAAGTGTAAAAAGACCACAAGCAGCAGTGGTCCCAGGAGTTCACACTAGGGGAGCCATTAGTTCATGTGCACAGTAGGCAGATGGGTGTGTGCTCCTTCACATTTGCTACAGTTAAGTAAGGTGGATGGTGAGAATGGGTCCTATTTTTATAAGAGAATGAAATAAAAATGTATTCCTTCCCTTAGGCACATGCCAAAATTCTCCACTTAAATCATTTTTGTGACACTAGGTCTCAAAGCAAAAAGTTTCACACACATGTAAAGCTGCTTTTATTCCATCTATATAATCTATTTTCACTAGATATTTGAGATTGTGAAGAACCCATTGTTTTCTAAAACTTCAAAGACCACTTGTGGCTACATGAGAAGTGGCAGTCAGCCAACCACAAGGAAAACTGATTTCTAACAAACAACACACAATCGCAAATACTGCTCATGTTTTCAAACACTTGGGTAAAAAGATAGATTGACTAAATGCACTAAGCAATTAAGAAATTCTCTCTGCTTCTGCTGGGGTGTAGGTCCAGTATTAGCAAATAAGAGCTTGAAATTGAAAGTACTTTCTAGTGGATTCAGAGTTGAGGATGACTTTTTAATTTTGTATCGTATATGTCATATATCAATTCTGGGATAGGTCATATATGACCTATTGAGAAGATATTTGCTTTTTTCTGCATTACCTTAAAGAATATAGAAGTCTTATTTATTTAATCCTTCACCTAGTCAATTTATCACCTGGGACTAATACTTAGTAATTCTGCCTAGCTATATAACATCCAGGAACAAATGATAAGAAAACATTCTCACACATACCGGGCCGGGACTGGATTTGCTCCTGGCTGGCACACTTGGATGAACATTTGCCGTCCAAGCTGTTGACAACAAACGTCAGGTTTGCCACTTTGCTGTCCACGTAGTTCTCGATGCTGTTCATGTTCGGGAGGCTGAGGCTGTCCAGGCGCCCGTGCAGCACATGGAGCTCGTCCTTGGCGTTCTTCAGTTCCGAGGACAGCCGGCTCACCTCGCTCTCCAGTTCCTCCACTCTGTTGTCGCCGGCCTCTCCCGCGGCGCCGGTGCCCGGGAACCGCAGGCCATTCCTGCCTGGCTCTCGGTTGTCGTCCGCCTGTAACTTGCAGTCTTGGCACGCTTTCCTGAGGTTGTTTACCATCTCCTTGAGGTTCTGGACTTCTTTGAGCACCTCCTCCATCCTGCCGAACGCCTGCGGGAGCTGGACGGTCAGCGGGGGCAGGCTCACCTGGTAGGGGCACCCGCCGGCCTCGCTGCACTTGCCACTGCTCTCCAGTCGCATGGGGCAGGTGGCCTTTGCCCTTTCGTCGTCTTGGATTTCCTCGGTGTCATTATTTGCCACCACCAAGAATCCGTAAGCCGCGAGGACCGCTGAGCTCAGCCAGTACCACTCTGGCAGCTTCATCCCTGCGCTGGCGCTGGCGACTGCGGTGGCGGTGACGGTGGCGCAGGGCGCAGTGTAGCGCGAGCGCTTTTATACCGCAGCTGCCCGAGTCCGTCTGTCTGGGTTCCCAGAACAGGGCGGGAGCGTTTGCATCACAAGTTCCAGAAACGCACAGGAAGAGGGGACGTCCGCCCCGAGCGCTCCACGCTCGGTCATTATGGTCACAATTGCCGCGTGCCGTCGCGTGCACGGTCACCAAGACTCACGTTCACGAGATACTCGTTTATCTCATGACTTACACAGCACAAGAAAAGTCTTTTATTTCAAAAAATAATCTGTTCTACTTAGGCTTGAGATAAACCATTTCGTTATACCTAACTCCATGGGGAGAGTGGGGGTTTGGAATATCGTAAAAGACTGGTGTCTGTGCAAATTGTCAAAACTGAGGGACAGAAATGTGATCACAGTGGAAATGGGGCTATATTTCCTTACCAGAATGGGAGTGTTGAGGGACCGTTTATTTTCTTCAGTGTTGGACTTTCTAATGAGATCTTAAGCACTCTTCAACGTTTCTAGAGAGAACCAAGTGTAGCTTTCTGAGTTCTGCAATGACTTTTGTTCCATCTGTTTGAAAAGGGAAGGAAAACTGGTAGAGTCATATAGTGCTTTCTCCTCTTTGGACATACGTAGCATCTTGTATATAATTTCCTAAACGCCTAAAACGCATTAAAAATATATCTCGTTGACGTTCATCAAAACCAGGAGCTGCCTCCCTTACCCTTCACCATTTGTGAAACTGCACTGTCATCTTCACAGGGCTCAAATATGAATTTTCTAAGTGTTGCTGTGGCTCTTCTAACCCCTTCTCCACCTGCAGCCCTGGCAGTCAGAGTCTGCTTTCTGCCTCCATGTTGGGTTCCCCCAGTTCTCTGTAGGCCACTTGGTATGTCACCTTGTCCAAAATGTGTCAGCACTCACCACAGTAGTTTTCAAACTTTTCTGCTAAGAGGCTGAGATTAGAAAGGGGAACAACTTCAGTTAGCAAATCCACCTCTCTTAAATTTGTTTTGCATGTTGTCTGGCATCTCGTAAGATTTCTTACTGAATGATTTTATTGCTTTAAACATGATTTCAACACAACTGACAGATAAAACTCCAAATTCTTTATGACCTAAGATAATGCACTCTGTAATCTATTTTATATTTATTTCTCTAACCTGATTTCCTACAACTTTTCTATCCTCTTCCCCCTTCATTCTAACCCCACTATGCACTTTATGTTCTGGAAATATGTCAGCCTTGCTTTTTTCTTTCAGGGTTGTATTTGCTGCTGAACACTGTGGGGCAGGGACACCAACCCTGTACCCACCTCCAGCTGGATGTGAAGGTTGCTAACTTCATTCCTGTATGGTGGAGGAGGGATTTGGCTGTTCTTTGTTCATACAGGAATTAGTTACACAAACGTTGAGTGCTTAAGGAAAAAAATGCAGTGTTTAAACAAATTTGTCAAACATGTTCTACACACACTATGCCTCATTGTCCTCCATCTTCTTCCAGCTTTTTTAAAAAGTTGAATGTTTTTCTTCATTCTATTCAACGTATTCAAAGTAATTTTTGACAAACCTTTTTAACTCCAGCTAATAATATGTCCTTTCATTTCAGTGTCCTCGCTCACTTTCAAGCTGTGACACTCTGCTATCGCAAGGAGAGATATTAATGACTAGATAATTTTTAATTTCTGCCGGGTATTGAGGGGGTGGGGGGGAGAGGGAGGGGGCGGAGTGGGTGGTAAGGGAGGGGCTGGGGGCAGGGGGGAGAAATGAACCAAGCCTTGAATGCACATATGAATAATAAAATAAAAAAAAAGAGAGAGAATGATAACATACATGTGAACTACAAAGTAGAAATATATGGGATATGGGAATGATGTTTAGATTCTGGTAATTATTAAATATCTTGAGAAGCCAGGGTATAAATCTCATACTTAGGTTAAGTATTTATTTAGGATGCTCAGCACGGCGCTAGAGGGTAGAGAAGATGTATGCTGCCGTGTCACTCATTCATTTATTGTTCGTCACCTTTTAATTATGCTCTCTCAACATGGGAGACACCATCCAGAGCACTTGGCCTACACTAATGAGCAAGTCAGACAAAAATCCCTTTTCCCTTCTTAGAAAGAGGAGTTTTGAGGACCTGGTGTTTTCTTCATGTTGAACTTTCAAATGAAATCTTAAACTAAGCACTTTCAAAAGTTTCAAAAACTAACAAAAGTACAGATTTCTGACTCTTGGATTGGGCTTTTGGTTCATCTGTTTGAGTCAGTGCTTTCTCTAAACACTGATGCTGGGTTTTGGACCCTACACACTCCACGTGGCCAAGGGCTAATGGCATAGTTCCACCTAAAAAGCTGGGATGTCCTTTGGGAAGTGGTTCTTGTCTCTTTCAGGCTCTGCTGACAATTCCACAAATGAACGTAGAAAACTGCTTTATTAATCAGTTTCATTGACGCTGACACCCACATAGTGAGTGTTGTGCTACGACAGTGCAAGATGTTTTCACAAATACTGTCTCACTGCATCCTTCCCATCCCTACAATTCCGACCTGCACTTGCAGTGGACAGAGGGCTCAAAGCAATGAATGACTTACCTATAGTTTTACAGTTTCCGAGAGACAGAGCTGAGATTTGAACCTAGGTCTGACTCCAAAGTTCCTATCTTTTCTCCTACACCGCATGACACATGGAAGGGAAAGCTAATAGTGGGAAGACATATTGGAGCCATGTTGTAGAAAGCCTGGTGTTTAAATCAATGTGTAGATCATTTGGGAATGCCAGAAGATTTTTAAAACAAGGAAATAGAATCTTTTTCCCCCTCCAGGATCATTTTTAGTAATGAATCTCCTGCTGGGAAACAGTGGGAAATGTGTTGTGGGTGAGAGGTGTTAGTGTGGGGCAGGAACCGAGGGGAAAGGGGAGGCAGACAGTTGTGCTAGGTGGTTTAAAAGCCACAGGACAAGTGAGGAGAAAGGCAGGAGAGGGGGTTGGCAGGAAAACTTGGAAGTGGGACTCTGACTGTATCTAAGTGCTGTCACAGCAGTGGCAGTAGAATGGCTGGAGACAGTACAATTTTGAGTTTCGACAAGTCACCAAATAGAAATGTCTAGCAAGTAGTTGGACATCTGGATACGGAGATGGGCACAGGATCCACATGGATGTCAATTTGGATCCACAGAAACCAAAAGGTTGGTCAAAGAAATAAGATGAGAAACAGGAAAGAGGGTTTCAGGGAGAGGAGGCAAGCAAAATCTGAAGTGCTGACTTCCTTGTCCTCAACTTCTGTGGGGTTCCCGCCCTCTGCCCTTAACCTTCTGCCTCCTCTCTCTTGCTAGAGAGCATGTCTGGATTTTCTCAGGCCCTGCCTGCCCTCCTCCTAGTACCTTCTACTTCTTCTCATGGCAGTGTCAGAATCTTCCTTCTACCCCAAATCTACCTCACCTCAGCACTACATATTATATTCACATATGTGCTTTTCAAATCTAAAAAACTACTGAACAGCAATACACAGAATTTTTTTGTGTTTGTTTTTGTTTTGGCTTTTTGTGGTACTGGAGTTTGAACTCAGTGCCTCAAACTTGTTAGTCAGGAGCTCTACCACTTGAGCCACTCCACCAGCCAGCCCTCTTTTGCTTATCTTTCAGATAGAGTCCACGGCAGGCCTCAAATCAAAATCCTCCTACCTAAGCCTTTCAGCAGCTACGATTACATGCATGCACCACTATACCCTGTTCCTGGGCTTTTAAAGTAGTAAGATTTGTTTTTATAAGACACATATGAAAATTATTATTCTACATTCACAATATATTCAGACTTCTTTTTTATATACAAAATATATTTAAGAAAGGAGTTGCATTTTCCATACCTGAATCAGATTCCTAAGTTAAAGTTTCCTCAATATAGTTTTCTTTAAGGGAATATATTATGTTTCTATTGTACCAAAGGAAGTAAGCAAATCCAATAAAAATGATTTATTATTCTGAGGTCCTATCATTGATACTTATTAATTCAATATATTTTTTGCTTTCATTTATTAACTTCAGGGGCTCTTGATTATTCTTTAGGGAGTGTTTTTGATAAGAAAGTGAAAATATTCAGTGGTAAAACTACTATTGAAATGGCAGTAATAAATAATACTTACTTTAATATGCATCACAATCTTATTCATTATAAAGTTCATGAAAACACCCTTAAATAAAATTTTGGAGAACTGGGGCTATGGCTCAGTGGTAGAGTGCTTTTGCATAGTACGCCCTAGGTAGATCCCCAGCACTGCAAAAAGAAAGAAAGAAAGAAAAAAAAAAGCCCAAGTTTAGCCACTGGTATTGAGATCAAGAATTGCCTCATTTCATTAGGTTCTTTGTTTTGTCTTATAAGTCCCTCACTGTCATATTATGGGGGAAATTGTGTCACATTCAGAATAGAAATTTCTCCAGTATGAACCTGTCATGAAAGACCATTCTATGAAATCCTTAAGGCTTCTGGACATGCTGAAGTATAAGGCAGAAAACGCCCAAAGATCTACTGTAAATGAGACTACAGGACATATGTAGTCTTCAGCTGTGGTTATGACCCAGGGCTTTGGTTGGGTGTCCAGAGCATCTCAGGTTAGAATTTTATGGAATTAGAATATTCCATAGGAGTCTTGGGATATCCATTAGTCATTATCTACACATTATCTTCTTATGTGCTCCATATACCAAGCCAGGGGTCATGGAGGATCCAAGAGATTCTTGAGATACGGCACCTAATTTTGCTGTCATATCTCTAAATTTCTAGAGAGTTAAAAAATTTCATATAACCAATATTGAGAAAAAATATATTTTTATTTCATATATTGGAGATTGATCGTAGTTTCCTTTTATATTCCTGAAACAGGACAAACAATAAGATTAAAGAAATTAGGAAAATCAAATTTTGGCCTGTTATCTTCATCTCTTCTTTTTGGTAGTTACCTTCAATAAAGTCATCACAAATACTGAATTAGTAAATATTGAAGCAGTGCTTCCAGGTTTAGGTTTTTGCAAGCTTCTTGTTCCATAATTTTTGTC